AATAGTTATCACGTATTATTTTTTTTACCTTTTCACTTATGACGAAAATTAAAAAAAAAAATAACAAATAATAACTAATAATGATAATTACTAAATTTTCTTCTAAATCTCATTATTTCTTACTATCGGTTTTTATAACTCATCAGTAATTATTCACTAATTTAATTTTCCCTTGGAAAGAACTATAATCGAGATTGGCCAAATTAATTAGATGTCAACAAGTACTTCATTCTCAATGTCACAAAAAATATTTATCGAAACAGAGTAGAAAATAAAAAACAAATAAGAAAAATCGATGGTAATTTTGATCTTAAAAATATATAGAGACGCTTACATAAGGGCTTATCAACGAATACATAAAAAAAAAGAATTAGAAAGAAATGCATGTGGAGAATAAAAGCGACAAGAGACCAAAATGCACGCTTGAAAGACAGGCAGTTATACTGCAAAATACTGAAGACAATCAAAACGGTATAAGGATTGTGAAGAATTTACACTAATTGGTCAAAAATTAAAAGTATCAAGTATAATTAACTTAATCAATTATAGGTTTTCAAGTACATCGAAGCAGTCAAGATGTAGAGATCAGCTGAAAAAGTTAAAGTCATATTATTTTAAGAAACATTGAAAATACGAGAAATTTGCAAATTTAACTATAAAAAAGCATAGAATAAAATTATCAACTAGAAGTACAGAAATGTGTTCTTAGCGATAAAGATAATATCACCAAGGTAGAAAAACAGACTTATAGAAATTCGAAAATTTATGCAATAAGGAGTTTTATATGATACTTGCGGGGAATTTTTCGAAATTTTCTGAATAAATATGTATAAATAATATATTCTTAATCGTATTAAACTTGAGACTTTGCTCGAGTAAAAAATCGTAAGTAACTCTTTGAATGAAGTACAAGTTGAAAATGAAAGAAAAATTTGCAAAAATAAATGCTCAACTGTTGTGAACACGGGGTTGGTGAATGAAGCCTGCAGGAGGGCCACTTTGCACGGTACCTACATATACCTGAATTTGGAAAAAATAAAAAGTTTCATTCTTTGAGAGTTGTTTTCGAGAAAAATGCGATATTCCTCAAAATGTACGGTGAGCTTGCGACAGCCCCGGGATAGTCCAGCCAAGAAGTAGTTTTTAGCTCACCTACCCACGTGCAAATCGCATTTTCGAAAGAAGCATCGATTATGAAAATAATGAGCTTGGGGCATTCAAGTGCGCGCGACAATCACCGCGGATGCATAAGCGCACTTGACAAATTGGCCGAGACGTGGAGGCCCGATCTCCGAGCTTCGTTCAGTGTCAGCGCACCTTGAAAAATTCAGGCTTCATTTGAATATTTTATCGAATAATCGAATTTAAAACGACGGCGGCTAAGCTCATATAAAAAGCTAATTTGCGAAATCGTCATTGTACCGACCGCGACTCGTTCGTATCGCAACGCGATCGAGCTGCTCTTGCAAACCGCGAAAGCCCGAGTCTTTCCAGCATCGAAAAGTAATCTAGTAAACATAAAAAAAAAGTGAAACTGTCGCAGTTCGGTTATGTGCGTTTGTCCGCACGAGATGGATCATCACGCGGTGATGGCATCAGCGTCTGTGAATGGCACTGCATCGGCTCTGTTGTCGGCAACGATGTCATCGGCCACCCTGTCGTCCACGGAACTCGTCAGCAACGCAGTGGCTCACGTCGCCACGACCATGGGGCCACACTTTGCTCGGCAAATCATGCGCTCCTACAACAATCAGACCGTCGTCGACAAAGTGCCACCCGATATGCTTGATCGCGTTGGCGAGCACTGGTACCTTTATTGCTTTTGGGTGGCGTAATTTCTACTTTGAGTCAGTTGAAAACGAGATTTTTTTTTCTTTTTTTCTTTCTTTTTTTTTTTTTTACTATACGCATGGATCTTGAAGCTTTTTTGAAAAGTTTTTTCCTTAGTTTAAATATACGTGCAAAAAGATAGAGGTAGGAAGTTGAAATCTATCGTCCAACATTTTTTTGATGAACAGAAGTGACGAAAAGACATTTTTGTTCAAGGTATGGATTTCCGCCTCTTCTACCCCTTTGGCATAAAGTATTAGGTATTGTCATGATATTTATTGGAATGCTCGGTTGGTGTGGTAATTTGGCAGTCGTTTATATTTTCGTATTGACACCCGCACTGAGATCACCGAGCAACGTGCTCGTGATAAATTTGGCATTCTCAGATTTTGTAATGATGATAGCCATGTCCCCGCCAATGGTCATCAATTGCTACTACGAAACATGGATATTAGGTGAGAGTAATGTTTTTGTAACTAGTAAAAATAGATGCATAATATTAAACAAGAAAAAAATTAAATTTTAGGGCCGTTAATGTGTGACATTGAAGCTTTGATTGGTTCGTTATGTGGTGGAGCTTCTATATGGACGATGACAGCAATTGCTTACGACAGATACAATGTCATTGTCAAGGTAAGTTTTTTTTTAATGCAGTCATTTTAATTCATATTTATATGTACAGTAAACATGTCGGTAATATAGTAAAGTATTTATATTCCACGTATACTTGCTACCACTAAATAATGGTGAAATTATACTACTTAATGCTGTTTTTGAATTATATGTTCAAAACATTGTCCTTTGGATTCAGCAAGCTCTTGAAATTTTTTTCTCATTGTAATCAGTAAAATACTCATTTTTCCATAAAGGTACTCGCTAAATAAATAATTAACTTCCTGAAAAGTTTGAAGCTCAAGTATCTGAAATTTTGAAATGTGGCCCTGAATGCGATTATTATAGTACAAACAAATTTTTGCATGGGATTCCTGAATATAAAAAAAATTATTAATTGAAAACAATTAACTCGTACGACAGTCATGAAAAAAAGAGATGTAAAAATATTTCAGGGTATGGCAGCAAAACCATTAACTATACCAAGAGCTATTATACAAGTGGTTATTATTTGGCTTCATGGACTATTGTGGGCTGTTCTTCCTCTGTTTGGTTGGAACAGGTTATTGAACAGATTTCATGAAAAAAAAAAAATAATAATAATAATAAAATAAATAAATAAATAACACTTAACAAAGAGGGTTAACAAAGGAAACCATGTAAAGGATGCTTGTGTAGGACACGTGCTCGTCGCAGAGAGAAAAGAGCACATCTTTTCCGAGCGCCTAATAATTAAATAGTGATTTTTTATGTACACACACACACACAATCACATACATTTGTGATCTTGGAGAAGAACAGTCGCATGTGTATTTGTTTAGAATCGTGTCCTTTTTCTGCACAAGGTTATCCTATTACTCTGTCGTGGGCCCTACGTGGAC